ACACACACACACACACACCTTATTCTCTTTGCATCCTCATCACACTTGATCATCGCTGACACAGGACAATTTGGTTTGGTAGCAACGAGATCAGATCAGATGAGGAAACAAAGAACCACCTTCTGACTATTCAATCTTTTGAAGCGCACACACACACAGTACACACACACACACTCACTATCTTACTGATGAAGGTCTTTGACACAGACTGGAGTCACTGACACATGGCTCCCCCTACTGGAGACCTATAAGACCTTTGACAATGACATTCCAGTCCCTGGTTGCGCTGTTGCACATTAACATTTATTAATTGATTCAATCAATCTATTCATTTAATCACTCCTCCCTCTCTCCGCCATTTCCCCCACTTTATTAAACTTCCCTTTTTCATTCTTGCAGTACGTACGTAAATGTTTCCTCCTTTTACACCTATCCTTTATTTTTTCCTCTTGTTTTTTCTTTCATGTCATTTATGTCTTCTTTGGACATATTTAAACAACTTTTAATAGATATCAAGTTTCATATCAAGGTATGGAGAACCAACCCTTAAAATGGATCATCATCATCATTCTATCTATATAATGAATACAAAAAACATTCAAAATCTCCATAAATGTTCATACAGGAAGGGGCTGGGGAGGTGCTTTAGGGATGCAGAGCTCAGCACTGTTGTATGAAGACTGAATGAGTGCCAAATATTTATTAACTGTGAGAGGGAGGACATGGACATACATGACGAGATGGTGTATGGAACATGTGACTGTAAACTTCAGTGTCTGCCTGAAGTGCAACAAAGCTCCATTTCTGGGGGTTTGTTTAAAAAAAAAAGAAAAAGTCTTATTTTTTAATTTTATTTTTTATAGTTGTGATAAACCCTAGTTTTCCTTTAAGTTGCATTCACAGACTACTGATGCCGGTTTATTTATGCCTTTCCACACCAATACCTAAAAAATTACAAATCATCGTCACAAAATCATGTAAAAATCAATTTGGTCAGGCTTCAATTCATGTGCTTGTGTCTGATGGCACAATGTTTAGACCAATCAGTGTCCTTTGAGGAAGCACTGGCAACTTCGGGGGGATGCTACTTTCCTTCCCAGGATGGCGAAGCCATGACGCACTATACTCTGCCTAATTGGCTTAGCCTGACATTCTTACCCTAACCCTAAACAATCTCTTACCTAAACCTAACCAACCAAACCAGTGAAGGCACTGAGTATTAGCCAATCAGAGCCAGAGTAGGAAGGGTCATGACTTCGCCAACCTGGGAAAAAACTGTTTGCAGACAGGGATTGGCACATAAAGGTTAGCGTAGATGCTGCTAGCATAATTTATATCAGAACTGGAGAGTATTTCCTGAAAAAATTTATTTCGCTCTTCTCCCGACTAACGTCAGTGGGAGTTTAACTACATGGTTCATTGATCTGATTGGTTGAAGTTTGCCCATGATATGGTGAAAGACCACCTGCCGAGTATATTTTGAAAGTATCCTTTTCTAAACAGTTTCCAACGGCGATTTTCCAGATGGTTCTGTGTAACAAACCATCGGATGCAGCCAGGTTATATACGACCATGAATTTATAGAACCGAGCGCAGCAGAACCAGATAGAAAAACTGAACAGAGCAAACGAAAAGAACACATTGACAGGAATTGGGTGGGACATGCCTTTCTGTCTGCTTTCTCTCTATTACACACATGGCGTCCATCCGTATGAGAAATGTGATTACAAATGAGAGTGTGAGTGAGAGAGCGGAGTGCCACAGCTGGCATGGCATCTGGCTTGGCATATCGTTGCCCGGCCTCGCCCGCTGCCTGTGCGCTCTAATGTGGCTGTCGACAAGCCCATTAAGAAGCCATTACTAAATGCTCTGTCTCTGCTTCTTTTCCACGCCTTATAACACAGGCCCGGGGGAATGCCAGCAACATGGAGGAGAGGGAGAGGAGAAGAGTGAAGAGACAGACAGAAAGGAAAGAAAGGAAAAAAAGGTGGAGGAAAGAATGAAGACAGAGGGAAGTTCATCTAAGAGATTTAACAAGTGGATTTAGTGATATAACTTTCGTGTTCTGTGACTGTGCCAGAGACAGGAAGTGATGGAGAGGAGAGACTCTGAACTCACTTTATACTTCACCATCAAAACAGACAACTACATGAGGAAGTTCTGCCTCAGGGCCTCATAGGAGGAGGTGTCAGTTGAAGTCTTCACTTACAGACAAAGTTCAGTGCTGGTCTAAATAATTTAGACTTCATTTTCAATGAGCTACAAGGTGTCTGAATAAAGAAAGATGATACATTTGTGGAAGATATTCATAAAGTATGTTTTTTGTTCAGCTGAAACAATTGGTTGGTTAATTAGCAACAATTTTGACAATCAACCAAACATGTCTTTACCAAACATAACAAAATTCCCTGATTTCAGCTGAGCAAATATTATAAGAATATTTTACAGTTTTCTTAGTATTCTTTGATTTAGTTTTTGAACAGTTAATCAGACAAATGACATTTGGAAATGTCACAATAGGCTCTGGGAACTAAACCACCATGAAGGTAGATTAATCAGTAATGAAAATGATGATGTTTCACCCCATATTATTTATCTGTTTGCTATATGTCAAGGCTCCAAATACAAGAACATGAAAAACATTAAGTAGAATGAGAGCCAGAGCCTTCAGCTACCAAGCTCCTCTCCTGTGGAACCAGCTTCTAGTTTTGGTTCGGGAGGCAGACACCCTCGAGTAGGCTTAAGACGTTCCTCTTTCATAAAGCTTATAAATTTAGTTAGGGCTGGCTCAGGGGAGTCCTGAACCATCCCTTAGTTATGCTGCTATTGGCCTAGACTGCCAAGGGACTTCCCATGATGCACTGAGCTCCTCTCTACCTCCCTTTTTCTATCTGTACACATTCATGTTCCATTAATGGATGTTACTAACTTCACTTCTTCTCCAGAGGTTTTGTGCTTTTTTAGTCTTGTAAGTTCCCATCAAGCACCCTCCCTCCTAGAGCCGGGGTCTGTCCAAGGTTTCTGCTTCTTAAAAGGAAGTTATACCTTGCTCCTTTCGCCAAGTGCTTGGTCATGGGGAGAATTATTGAGTCTGTGTAAAAACATTTATAAGGACTACAGTCTAGACCTGCTCTACATAAAAAGTTTCTGAAGTTTTGTATTCAAGTCAAAGTCAAAAATTTTGTAATTCAGTTCACCATTCACAGTGCTGCTACTATAGTAGTAGTATGATAAAATAAACAGTGACTGAATTACCATTACCAGCAACAGCATAATCTAGCATGTTGCACCAATCCTACAGGACATCATAATTTTTAGCCATGGTATGATCTCAAATCCATGTGACCTCTATAATGACACAAAACCTGGCATCATGTATCATCATTAAAATACTAGACTCCAGATCAGAGGGGAACTAATCATTGAATTTAAATATGTTTATAAATTATTTTGTTTACTGTGCTGATAATCAATTAATGGTTGTGAAATCATCAAATCTATTTGGTTCTGGTTGTTTTATTGCTGGAAAGGACATTGGACTTCCTCTATTAAAAATTATACATGTGATATTGGTGTTCTTCTCCTGACACAACTTTGGTTTCTGGTACATAACCAACACATATTTAGAATAGACAAAAAGCCAACAACAAACTCTATTCCAAACAATGTAATGTGGTGGGATACGCATATGTTAAAATACAGTATGAAGTAGCCCCAATAATAATTTTTTAACTATGCAGAGTTGTTGGTGAATGCATGGGAGAACAATTTTCATTTCCATTGCTGGGACTATTAGTGCCTACAGGCACACACGCTGTCTCTTGGAATGGGTCACCAAATTAGACCTGCTTGAGTTGCACATTCCCACTTACTGACTCTGATTCACACGAATTAAGGACAACACAATCAACATATTAGGACGGAAAAAGTCTTTGAGGAAAAAGATGAGGTAAACCCTACTTGGCTGACAGAACTGAACTTAAAGAAATAAATGACACATCAGGCAAGTAAAAACAACATAACAAAAATATAGTAAGCAATCTTTCTTTATTCGTACGTTCTCTTCGTGTTCTCAGAACCGGAGGAGAACACACAATGGTGCCTGCCTTGGAGTACAGATGAGGAAACTTATCACAGACGTTGTAGGTGGCGAACACTGGCTTGAATGACTGGAGGGGAGGAGAGGCGAGGCAAAGAGGACACAAAGAGGAGGTATGGAGGTCATTTTTTAAAAATGAGAGAAAAAAAGGAGGGACAAAAAAAGAAGGACATTTTAAAAAAAAATTGTCTTGATTATGATAAAATATCAGAGTTCAAACACCAGGAAAAAAGACCAGTGGTCACACACTTAAAATAAGTCCTTTTTGAGATGGATCCTCTTGTGCAAACCAATCACAGGCCCAATATAATAAGGGGATGATGTGCAATAAGGTCTTTTATTTACAGTTATTTACTTTTATTTTTTTCTGTGGCTGTGCATCTCGCCTGCTGGATTTGCATCTGGATTCACTGAATCATTTGAGACACCTAACAGGTCAATTTGGATAAGAGTTGTCAGGATGTGGTGTGTTTGTGATAAGATGGCACTGAATGACTTTCTTATCTTACTTTTGAGCGAAAATAGCATTATCCCATGAAGATGGCTGAAGAACACTGAGGCTGTCATGATGCCCTGATGGGGATGAAGTTGTACATCCATCCATTGTGATTCACAAATATACTCACCAAGACCATGTGCAACTTCCTGCTGTGTGTGTGTCTGTATGAGTGTGTGTGTGGAGCGGTGAATTGCTCTTTTCATGAGTGACTGTGACAGGTTTCTCATCAGGCCCTGAAGCCTCCTCGCAGTTAGAGACCATGTACAGCACAGCCCCCAAACAACAAACACACACTCTCACATGAACGCATGCTGAACTGGGCGATGGTGTAAAAGAGTTTTCTGTCAAACTACCAGAGACGTAGTTGGTACCACACGTGCTTGTGTGTTTGTGTGTGTTTGTGTGCCTGCACCGGCTGCTGGAACTAAGCGGGGCTCTTAATCACGGTTGTAACGGGCAACATTACCGGCAGCGGCAGCAGGCTAATGATGAATGCCCGAGTCTCCGTGCAAACCCTGACCTCCTTTTCTGCTGCAATGCACAAAAAGCTCTAGCTCTCTCACAAAAACACACACATACACGTGCATTTGTGTACACACACAAACAGATGAACACATACACCTTGATAAAAAAAA